CCCCAAAACCCCAAAACCCCAAAACCCCGTAAGCATGAAATTTATTTATTTCAAAGTTTATGGAAATTTACAAGCAAATTTATATAAGTTTATTCAAAGGAATAGAAATTATTCTTTTCCTTACAAAATCATCTCTGTCCGTATTAGTTCATATTGTTAAGATAAGGATTGGCTGTCTATTGATACCCATTATTGGTTTGATGAATTGGTGGCTATCTCTAGAACTGATGTAGTCTAAATTGACTATGATTGTGAACCTCTTGAATAGTTTTATTTTGATCATTTAGTCTATTCAGTAGATCTGAATAAAATCCTATTGAGTTGAACTATATGTCATCAATTTTATCTCTTCTAAGATTTGAAGGGAGACTTGGAGGGTAAATGTCTGTTCTTCTATCTGAGTCCATAATTAATTTTAGAAATGAAAACTACTTTAGTTGCGATATTTCAAATTTTAAATTGATACAGATATATACTTAATTGGATAAATATAATTACATTAATAATAAAATAGCATCTAAGGAAATTATCATCTAAGATGGAGTCTAATGATCAGTTGAACTTACAAAATGACAAGGAAGTAGAGAAGCTAATTCCCTTTGACATTGGTAAATTTATTCCGAAACACACATATATTAATTCCTGATTTTAGAGCCCATTCTATTCTCAGGCAAAATCTTCAAGATTAATAGATGGTCTCTTAAATAAGATAGAATTTTAATTCTCACAGTGAGATCAGTCTATGTCTTCAGAAAGAAATGTATGTATTTCAACTGAATTGGATTTTTAATCATGTTCAATCCTTATAGAGCTGAGAAAGAAGCTGTAAATATCGGAATTGGGCAGTGTGATTAAGAGTCTTTCATCGAATGAGTTCATCTTACATTTCCCGAATTTCTTCGATCTCAGAATTCAATGTGACAGGAGGTAAAGTTTCTTAGATCTTTTGAAATTAAGATTTGCACACTTGCAGTCTTAAGTTACTCTCAGGATATATGGAGTTGTAAGTTTAAAGAATTTGATAGTGATCAATTGTGCTCATTGAAATATATAGCCATCTGCCAGTTTAAAGGAATATCATACAACCCCAAGCAATAAAAAATACGGCATTGATAACTTACCCACTGAAGATATGCGCTTATTAGATGAAGAAATCAAAAGTGCACCAGAATGGGAACGAGAGTCAATGATCACTGATAACAGTAAAAGTTCTAAGAAAAAAGTCGAAGAGGAGGAGTTTGATTTTGAAAATTCAAGGTCAACCAAAGATAAATCTGGGGCCAGTTCAGATAAAGAAGACCATCATGCAATTACAAGCGAGCAAGATGTAAGTTCTATAACGATTAACATGATAGGATATGAGAATGTCAGTGCTTGTAGCATCTAGAAAATCGAATGAAGTGAAACTTGAGGATTTCAAGTTAGTCACTGTGCTTGGTAGAGGAACTTTTGGTAAGGTTTATCTAGCTGAACTGAGATAAAATAGCCAACTCTATGCTATTAAATCAATTAGAAAGGATGTTCTCCTCGAGTTTGATCAGGTTAATAATACAAAGCTTGAAAAGGACATTCTGTTCTCATGTGATCACCCTTTCCTAGTAGGCATGGACTATCTCTTCTAGTCTTCTCTCAGACTCTATTTCATCATGCCATTTGTTAGAGGAGGTGAGCTGTATAAGATTTTCCAAAGTAAGAAGAGATTCCCAGAGAATCAAGTCAAATTCTACGCAGCCTAGATTGCAATGGCCATTGGATATCTACACAACCAAGGAATAGCTCATAGAGATTTAAAGCTTGAAAATATTCTAGTAGATGCTGATGGATATCTTAAAATTATTGATTATGGCCTTGCCAAAATGATTGGTTAGGATGAGCTCTCTATGAGTTTTTGCGGAACCCCAGAATATTTAGCTCCAGAAATGGTTAGTCATGCTGGCCATGATAAAAATGTAGACTGGTGGGCACTTGGAGTACTTATGTAAATATCTCCTTGTTCTTAATAATTAAATTAGTTATGAAATGCTTATTGGAGTCACTCCTTTCTATAATAGAAATAGAAATATGTTGCTAATGAAGATCAAGAACTCTAAGGTCATCTTCCCTGACAAAACTAAATACAAAATTGAGTATTCTGACGAAATAGTGGATCTAATCGTTAACGTAAGTATCATAAATGTACTAATACTTATGAATAGCTTTTATAAAAAGACAAGACAAAGCGTCTAGGCTATCAAGGAGATGGTGATGAAATCCTAGCTCATCCTTTCTTTGCCTCACTTGACCTTAAGAAATGTGAGGGTAAGGAAGTTGAAGCACCTTTTAAACCTGAAATCTCGTCAGAAGTGTTAGATGTCAAGTTCTTTAATGCTAAGAATGATCCTAAGGATTTAACAGAGACATACGTGCCTGAGGCTAAGATTAGAAAAGTCGAAAAAGCCAAGGACATGTTTAAGGACTTCGATAGTAAAAATTGATATAAATTTGGATAATTATTTCTATTCTTATCTCTATTTAATCTTATGGGGTTTTGGGGTTTTGGGGTTTTGGGGTTTTGGGG